GAAGCCACTGGTAGCCCAGGTATGCAAACCACTGCTCCAGCCGGCTCTCCTGGGACCAGGAGGTGGTGTGGGGCCAGCAGCCATTGGAGACAGAGGTCCTTGATGGGGTTGAGAAGGGCTGGGGCTCCCTGGAGCGACAAAGAAGCTCTGGGAGAGCAGCTGTCCCTGAGTGGCAGCTGCAGTGCTGGGTTCTGGCACCCGGTACTTTGAGGAGCAGCCGTGGGGTTGATCCTCCCTTGGAACCCCCCCTGAGGCTGCTCTGCTCACACCCCCACCATCAGCTGGTGCTCAGCCCAGCTCCATCCCTGACCCCTCAGCTGCCCTCCCTCCCTCCCTGCCTCAGTTTCCCCTGCAGGAGGGCAGTGCTGAAGCCCTCCTGTCAGAATCACCACACCAGAGCCAGACTCACCTCCTTGGCACATCTTCACCGGGCCAGGATCAGGCCATCAGAGCCCCTCGACGCCCAAGGGACCTGGCTCACTCTCAGCCCCCGGGCAGACGGGTCCATCGGGGTCCAAATGCGTCTGATCAGGACCAGGGCTGGGACTGGGCAGGACCAGGCAACCAGAGCCACTCACCTGCTGCACCCCACTGCTGCTCCAATTCCTGTCAGACCAGCTCCCTGGTGAACAAAGGGATAAACTCCACCTTCACCTGCATGTCCCACCCCTGCACTCCCCCTGCTGCTGAGCCAGCAGCCATGCCGTGACATGCTGTGCCATGCCAATACACCATGCCATGCTGTGCCAATACACCCTGTCACTCTGCCTCACCCCCTTCCCCATCCATTCCCCCCTCCCCAGCACGCTTAGGTTATCCCACCCTACAGCAATGGCAGCAGGCTGGGATCCAGCCAGGCAGGTCCAAGGCCAGGGGCTGAGGGTCTGGGAAGAGGCAGCCCCTCAGGCTGGGACACTGCCAGACCACAGGGCACAGGCCAGCACTGCCAGGTACCTGCAGAGAGAGGGCAAAGCAGCAGGGTCAGGGCAGGTGGTGACTTCCCAGAGGGTGACTCAGAGGAACCAGTCTGGTGGCCATTGCCCTCATGAAGCTTCCAGGGAAGTTACTGACAGCAGGAGACGGGGAGAGGGATGGGGACAAGGGTTTGCTGAGGTGGCTGCAGGAAGAGCACTCTGCTCACACCGGGGGGGGCTGTGGGGACCCTCCCTTGCTGGTGGGAGACCCTCACTAATCTCTCTGCAAAGCTTGTTGCAGACAGGAGGCACCAAGAGCTTAATTACAGGGACAACCCTGGTTCCTGGGAGCGGTCTGGGGAAGAGCCTGGTCTAGGCAGAGTCAAAAACATTATCCCCAATATCCCACCTGAGCCATCACTCTCAGCCTCCTCAGCTCCCATACACCCAGCTGTGCTGGGAATTTGGCTTTAGTCCCCCCATCCTTTCCCTCCTTTAACCTGTACCCAGCCCTGCTGCACATGGAGAGGGAGAAGAGAGAATCCTCCTCTTCCCAAGCCTTTGGGAACAACGTTCACAAATGCCTGAGCCAAAGGCAAAGGCAGCTGGAGGATTTCCCCCTAGCTTTGGAAAGGATGAGATGGACGCAAGTCGAATGACAACCAGAGTCTTTATTTATTCCAAGAGTCCCTTAGGATGGTTGCAGACATACAGACACACGTACATATTTACACTCTTACACACCTCACAGACTTTGAACCAATAAATTAAAACAAAAAGACGGCAGGGGATTTCTTTTTTTGTTGTTTTTTTTTTTTTTCTCCTTTCCTTTCCTTTTTATGTCACGTAAGAAACAGCGACTTCCCGAGGCCAGGCTGGGGAACCAGCTGGAGAATGGCAAACAGGAGCCAACAGGGACACAAGCCCGGCCCAAGAGACGCGGGGACAGCGGGTGTGCTGCCAGCAGGAGGACCCGTCACACTCTGGCCTCGATGCACTCCAGTTGGACCATCTCATCCAGCCGGCAGCCCTCGGCTTGGGCACAGTGGCTCAGGTGGGCACTTGGGCTCTCGGCACCTCTAGCTTTGGGGGTCTGTGGGCAGCCTGCTGCAGTCTGAGAGTGGGGGGAGTCGCACTCGTCCGAGGTAATGTCCGGCACGTCGTCCGACTGGCTGTCGGAGCTCTCCAGGTCGCTCCGTATGCTCTCGGGCTGGGCCAGGGTGATGTCCCAGGTCTGGCTGGCAATGCAGTCCTTTTGCTCACAGCTTTGGTGTTTGCACGTCTGCTCCTGCTCACCGTCCTCTTCCTCCTCCTCCTCCTCCTCCTCCTCTTCCTCATTCTCTGCCATTTGGGTGTGGACATGCAGAGAGTCCTCTGTGCTGCTGCCGCTGGCCAGCTGGTAGTGACTGGGTTTGGCTTCGATGTCCACCTGGATCTCCATGTTATTGCACTCCCTGCAGGAACAAGCACCCTGGCATTACTGGGAACGGTTACTGGGTTCAACCGGGCACCGCTGGGCACTGCACCAACTGAACTGGGAGGATCACACTTCCCAAACATGAGCCAGATGCTGCTCATCACCCCTTGGCATGAGAGGAACAACAACACTCGCTGCTCTTGAGTTCTCCCACAGCAGCCAAGATCTGAGCCAGGAGCTGAGCTGGGAAAGCTCCAGAGTCCCCAGGAGCTGCCAGGAACAGACCTTGAGGGTGCTGGGAGGCAGATCCCCTCCTCAGGCTCCACACCACACACGGAGGCTGCTTCCAAATTGTCCCCAGTCCTCCTCCTGTGCCAGCAAAAGGACTGATCCGCTTGCCAGCAGCAGAAGAGCAGCCTGGTGGTGCAACTACAGTCATCCCACCGCCCACAGCAGCGCTCATAGAGCACAGATTTTTCCAGGACACACACTACCAACGCTCTTCTCACCATTCCATGTCCTCCTACCTGTCCTGGGGGTTGTAGGAGCTGATGATGGAACCAGCCATGGCTCGAGTGCTGGCATTGTCACTGATCGCCCCCAAACTGACCGAGTCTTTGGGGAAAATCTCCTTCTGGACATCTGCCTGGACTTCCAGCCTGCAGGAAAGAGGAGGATTCCTAAGAAATGCTTTAGGCATCCCTGAGGAGCACTTATCAGTCCCTGTTCTTCACGGGAAAGCGAGAGGCCCTTCGTGCTGGCACAGCTCGGCATGACAGAGCTTAACCCCAATGGCCCCTCTCACATACAGCCTCATTTTTGGCTCCATTTAGGCAAATTCATTCTGTTTTCCATGACGAAGGTAAAGCAGTGTTTACCTCCATGACTCACACAGTTCCCAAGAAGGACTGATTTCCACGGATCTCGCGCAGAGCCATGATTGCATCCTGGCTGCCATATCAACACGTGTCTCTAATTACCCAGCAAACTGACTCACAGGCGGGTTTGGAGGGAAACTGCGGCGTAACCTCCTGACTTGGAAAGCAGTGGCACCGTTTGCACCGGAGAACAGGAAGCATCAAAGCCTCCAGGCTGGGATAAGAGGAGTGGAATAGCTCTAAGCAGGTCACGCAGGCATCTCTGCGCTATTCCAAATTAACCTGAAGCAGCAGCTCTGCAATTTTAGGGAGCTCAGTAGGGACTAAAACTCATCTTCTGTCCTCCTTGCCAGAATCAGCCAGGCACTGAGTCCAGAAGTAGCCTGCTCACAGAATCATGGAATGGTTTGGGATGGAAGGGACCTTAAAGATTATGTAGTTCTAACCCCCTGCCATGAGCAAGGACACCTTCCACTAGACCAGGTTTCTCCAAGCCCTGTCCAGCCTGGCTTTGAACACTTCCAGGGATGGGGAGTCCACAATCTCTCTGGGTAGCCTGTGCCAGAGCCACACCACCCTGGGTCCCTGATCACCCTGGGTGATCTGCTGGGACTGGTTACTCTACGACAGACCAAGATGCAAAAGTCCTAGGACATAACTAGGTCGAAGCACAACCACTCACAGTCCTGGAGAGCTCCCCAGAATAAACCTGCCCAACCAACACAGCCCTTGGGACCCTCTGTGGTTTTCCCCAGCAATCCAATTTTACCTGCTGTACTTCCCCTTGCTCCCTGAGAGGACCCCCCCGCTCAGGGTGCCCCCGGAGAGGGCAGCAAAGCTGGCTGTCTCGCTGTAGTTGCCCTGCATGACACTGAGCCCGTCCGTGGGGCTGCCACTGGTGCTCAGGACGCTGGTCAGCCCCTCAATGCTGCTCTCACCAATGCTGGGGTTCTTCAGGGCTCTCCAGGCATCAGCCACTGCAGGGGAGGAGAGCACAGGGGTGGGAATCAGCAAGGGAAGTGATGTCTCATCCCAGGCAGCCTCCCAGCCTTGAGCAGAGCTGAGATTTTGCTTTGAGAGCAGCACACCTGACCACAGCAAGACTGAAGCAAACACCTGCTTCCAGCCAGGCCCAGGTGAAAACAGATGTTCAGATTTGGGAAACATCACGACCCCCGAGCATCTCATTACAACCCCTCCCCTTCCCCAGTCACCACGCTACCTGTGATGGGTCCATCATCTTCATCAAACTCGATTTTCACCCCCTTTCCATTGGCTGTGCTGACCCCACAGCCACCGCCCCGGCACAGCGAGATGGGCACGACGCCGTAGACGTAGGCCAGCATGATGGGGACCCCAATACCTGGAGGGGAGCATGGGCTGGGTTAAGAGGAGCTCAAGGTTGAGCTGTGTTGGGCAGACAGAAAGGATTTTTTTGGGGTAGAGACTCAGTTGTGTTTACGCTGCTTTTAAAAGGTTGTAGCTCAAAATTTCGCAGACAGACAGAGAAGGAGCCCTTTGTTGGTGCAGAATGGGGGAACCCCAAGAGCACTGAACCCCTGAGACACTAGCCACCAAACCAGTCCATGAGTGAGGGACAGCTCTGTGTGTCGAGGGACACCAGGATGGGCTGTGGCACAGGCAGCTGGTGCTCCAGACAAGCCCTGTGCTGGCTCCAGGCCACCTCGAGCACAGCAGGACGTGCAGCCTGGATGTGAGACAGAGGGTTGTGCCCAAAACCACACACAGCAGCACTCTGCAAACTGCCTTTGGCCACCCCCAGTGCACAGGGTTGGGCTACTCACTGGCCTTGGTGGCTACTGGCCCACCAGAAGGGACAGGGACTGAGCCCACTTACCAACACTGACAGCAGCGATGACTGGAGAGGCAATGACAGACAAGGTGACCCCTCCAGTGATGGCCAAGTTCCTCTTGTGCTTAGAGGTTTTCTTCCCCTCATACCTGCTGTGGATCTGATGGAAGGAGAAGCAACAGGTGAGAACAGCCTGGTGAGAACAGCCTGGCCATGAGCAAACACCCAGAGGACATCAGTATTTGATTTTACAGCCTTGCCAGCTGTGTGAGCCCTTAAAGAACCTCATCTCCTCGCAGATCTCCTCACAGACCAGACCTAGCAGGAGGGTCTGTGCTTAAGAAAAAGAAGCAGTTACAAGTAAAGTGCTGATGTGCCAATTCTTCCCTCCCAACATCTCTTTATCAGCACAGACACACACAGCAGCATCACACAGTTTGAGGCAGCAGGTCAGCACCGAAACACGAGTGGTTTGAGCATGGCAAGGTGTGATGCTCGGAGTCCAACCACTGTCCCACAAAGCCCAACATCACAGGATGGGCTCAAAAGGGACCAAGTTTCTCCTGGGGTGCTCCTGGGTTAAAGCAGTGGCACAAGAGCACTGCAAAATGCATTTGGGAGGACACGAGCCTGAAGGGCTATGAGGGCTTATCAGCCACCACCCTCCCTCTGCCCACACAAAGCCCAAGAGATAAGACAAGCTTTAGAAGAGACAACTGAATTTTGCTTCTGTTGCAAGATCCACCCTTCATATCAGCTCTAAATTTCTGGTCGGGTGCCTCGAGCACAGGGAACGTCCCCAAACCCCTCTGCTCCCCACACTTACCTTCCTCCCCACGTACACAGGGATGCCAATGACCATGGCAGGAATGGCAATGCCAGCAATGAGGGAAATGCCCACAGGAGCCCCGATCAACGTGCCCAGCTGCCAGAGAATCTTCTTTTTACGACTCCATGGCTTTTTGCCCCAGAATGTACAGCCAGAGGGGCTTCGTGGGAGGGGAAAAAAAATGACATTAACACCACAGCAATTCCTAAATGTTCCCAAGAACCCCCAAGTCCAACTTCCACAAAAATAAACCCCAAAACTTAGGAAGCGTGTAGACAACACAAAAGAGGCTTCTCTCTTCTTTTCCCCCCATCAAGATTAATTTTTCATCAAGGTGATTATCAATCACATTACCAGATGTGTTTAACATCCAGTAGACCAAGAGCTCTCAAAAGATTAGTATCAGGAGCTTTCTTTTTTTGGTGTGGAAGAGTATGCCACTGTAAAGTGGGAACAAAGTTCAGCTCTTTGGGTCAGAAAGAAGAAAATTAGAGAGACTGAGTGCAGAGGCAGGAGGGTGAAAGCCCAGCACATGCAGCAAACCCCTCTGAACAGCCCCAGATGGGCATGTGCTGCCCCAGCAGCAGGAATCATAGAATCATAGAATCAGCTGGGTTGTAAGGGACCTCTGAGATCATCCAGTCCAACCCTTGATCCACTACTGCTGCGGTTGCTAGACCATGGCACTGATGGTCTTATCTTAAAAACCTCCAGGGATGGAGAATCCACCACTTCCCTGGGCAGCCCATTCCAATGGTTGATCACCCTCTCTGGAAAGAAATTCTTCCTAATATCTAAACTAAACCTCCCCTGGCACAGCTTAAGACCGAGCCTTCTTGTCTTGCTGATGGTTGCCTGGGAAGAGACCAACCCCCCCCGGCTCCCCCCTCCTGTCAGGGAGTTGCAGAGAGTGAGGAGGTCTCCCCTGAGCCTCCTCTTCTCCAGGCTGAACAGTCCCAGCTCCCTCAGCCTCTCCTCATAGGACTTGTGCTCCAGTCCCTTCCCCAGCCTTGTTGCTCTCTTCTGGACCTGCTCCAGCCCCTCAATGTCCTTCCTGAACTGAGGGGCCAGAACTGGACACAGCACTCCAGGGGTGGCCTCACCAGTGCTGAGTCCAGGGGAAGAATCACTTCCTTGGACCTGTTGGCCACACTGTTCCTGAGCCAGGTCAGGTTGCCATTGGCCTTCTTGGCCACCTGGGCACACTGCTGGCTCATGTTCAGCCTCCTGTCAATCCAAACTCCCAGCTCCCTCTCTGCCTGGCTGCTCTCCAGCCACTCTCTCCCAGCCCGTAGCGCTGCACGGGGTACAGGCTGGGGAACCCGGGTGTGCTGCTCCCTCCTCCTCACCTGAGGTAATGCAGATCCGAGATCTCCTTCATGCAGAGCCAGCAGAACTCGCAGCCACACACGGCACACGTCATGTGGTTGCAGCTCCCATCGTTCATCTTGATGATGTAGGCGCTGCAGCGCGGGCACGGCTTGATGTCGTCGGCTGCGGGGAGGAAGCACGGGAGGGATGGAGTTGGAACCTCTGCTGTGAGCATGAGGGAATCCACGAGGGGGATCTTGGCACGGGATGAAACCCCCTGGTTTTCTGTGCACGCAGAACACCTTTGCTGACCGCAGGTGAAGTGGGGGTGCTGCGTCTTTAGTTTTATCTTCGGAGCGAGAGGATAACATTGATGAGAGACCCCACCAGAGCCCGGGCAGCAGGGACTGAGAGCAATAGCCACTTTAAAAACTTATTCTAACCTTGAACAGAATGTACTCCAGGACATGCTTAAGTGCTGGGAACAAGTCATACCTGCCCTGTGCTAGCCAAGGCAACAGCATAAGAACGAGCCACGATTGAATTGCTCCACTGAGGTGATTCATGGGCCAAGAACAACAGAACAACTGGGAGAACAGGCATTGGAAAAATACCAAACCCAGCCTTCTAGGGCAGCCAAAAGGGAACTGGGGTCTGCAGCAGAGGCTGCCCAGGCCCCAGTTTGCTGCTGGCAGAGTGGGATAAGGGTCTTTCATCTCTTCCTTAATTCAGGAGTCATCTGATCGTGGTTATGCAATGGCTGTGCTGTGGTTAAGGGCTTTGCTGGCCCCTGCAATGCTCAGCAAGATGAAATCCAGCTGCTGAGACCAGCTCACACCTTATTAATCACCACACTGGATCCAGCAGAACAGGGTGAGGAAAAACCACTGTCTCAAAAACCTCCCTTTCCATGGCTAAGTGCCCTTCCTGGCAGGGATCTCTTTAACAGGGTGAAAAATCTCAGAAACTGGTTTGGTTTTTTTTTTTTTTTTACTGGCTGGTTTGTACCAGAGACTGTGGGAGTCTCTGCTGTCCATTATCAGGGCTCTCTAACTGGGACATGTTGAACCTCAACATACCACTAAGCCACCTCTGAACCACCCACGACAGCTCCACGCTAAGTGAATTAACATTTAAACTCCTGACATAGAAGGAAAAACAGGGTGTTTTGTTTGGGGGCAGGGCAGGGCTTTACAAAATGGCCTCACTGCCCACTTCCAGAGTCAATACAGTTATTTTTAAGGAACACAAACTCAGCAGACACAGCAGCTCCTACCAGGCAGTGTAGGAGTCTGTGGGTTGGCATTTTTTTTGGTACCTGACATTACTAACACCTAACAGTGCACAGAGCAAGGCTCCCCACACTCAGCTGGGCATGAATGCTGCTCTTCATGACCACAGCAGGCAAATTTGAAGCTGCAAGGGTAAAAAGTGACTATTTGTTCAGGGTTTAGATCAGCAAAAAGCGAGAACATCCAAGATCAAAGGAGCCACAAGCAGAGCTGGGGCGGATGAGGGGAGCTGCTGTCACACAGAAGGACCCAAAGCACATCATCACCTACTGATCTGTTCAGCACTCTTGGAGGAGCCCAGACATGTCCTAACACACAGGAGAAGGGGAAATGAGTCTGAGTTTCACAGCTGCTCTCACAGTGGCAGCTGTAGACCCTCAGCTGTGCCACGCAGGGCACTAACACCCCACTGCTTGGAGGGGAGGGGGGTTTACACAGAGGTGGCTCTTCCTCAGCTTCACACACACAGCTGCAGCACTGAGTAACCAAAACAAAATAAATCAGTGGTGTGATTCCTGGGGCTGTCCTGTGCAGGGCAAGGAGTTGGGATTCAATGACCTTAGTGGGTCCCTCCCAGCTGAGGATACCCTATGGAAAACACGTGAATCCATACCCGGCCCGGATTCCTGTCCGTAGCTGAGGCCCGACGTGTGCTTGGTCCGTACCCGCAGGGTCTGTGCCCGCTGCTGGCGGGCCATGTCGCAGGTCTGGTTGGGGTGCCATATCTGTTTGCAGTGGTAGCAGAACTCTGTCTGGCAGCCGTCCCTCTCGCAGGTCAGCTTGGGGCAGCTGGCACAGCCGTAGGCAATAACTGCGTAACTGCAGGGGGAACACGCCGGGGGCATCAGTGAAAGGCAAAGTTATCAAGCCAGAGCCCAGTGATCCTTTGATTCAGGGTGCCCAGGCTGTGGCTGCCTGAGCTGCTCTGCTCAGAGCAGCTGGTTGAAGAGCTGCTGCCAAGACAGGCGTGCCTGGTACCCCCAGAGCCCGCAGCAGGTCACCCAGAGCCCCCAGTCCGCCCACCCCACCTCTCCCACCTCATTTCTGATCACTGGTACAGCAGCCTCCACGCCAGACACATTCCTGCTCTCTCCAGCCCTGTGGCTCGCACTGCAGGGCCTGAAATTAAGCAGTGCTAATTGGGTTACTCGGGGCAGAGGCCTTTCACACAGCCAGCCTGTGACACGGAGTTCTCTCCTCAGTAACTGCTGGCAGCTCCCACGGGCAATTCACACAGACAAGATCTGTGCACGGTGTGCCCAGCTAACTCCTTGCTCCTTCTGCCAACTCAGGCTCCTAGGACAGGCTCAGGCTGCTCTTTCCAGGCACACACACACACCCCAGTTCCTTAGGACAGGTATATGGGTGGATGCTCTGTGGTCTGGAGGAGTCTAGGAAAGCTGAGGTTATCCTGGGCACTTCTATTAACTGAATGATCCTAAAAAAGTGGAATAACAGGGGATTCCAGTGTAGCTATGCCAAGAAGCAAGTTCCTGTTGATCTCCACAGAACTTTCTTTTCCAGAGAGTGCTGAAGAACAACACCCTGCCTCTGGAATAAGCCAAAATTTGAGTAAAACCAACCGAGAGTGCAAGACAGAGAGGCCAGGTTCAACCAGCTCACTTCTGACAGTAGTGTGACACTTCCAGGAAGAAGTGTCCTGTGTACACAAAAGTCTAAGCAGCATCAGCAAGCACTGCTAGAGAAATCTGACTAACACAGTCACTGAGGATGAGGCTGTTTCCATTGGCAGGGGCTGACATGAGCAATTCCAGAAGTTCCTTCCCAGCTCTGCGACACCCTTATGGCAAAAGGGTACTTTTGTTGCTCGTCCTCGGTATTTTTGTTGGTGGTCAGAGGGAATAATTCCTATTTAAGGCTTTATATTTAGAGCTCGTGTAGCTCAAGTTGTATTGCCTCTTCTCAGAGGCAGCGGCGTGAGAACCGCTGAATGTGTCATACCACAGTGATTCACATTCCGTGGGAGTTTGAGCAACTTCATCCTGCCAGGCTACGACAGAATCGCCAAAGAAACAACATCTCGGGGCCAGGAGGCACGACTGCAGGGCCTACGTGTGCAGCAACCACCTGCACCTGAGCCCAGTGCTGGGGGAGAGACAGGAAAACCTCATCCCTGGAAGTGGCCAGGGCTTGGAGCAACCTGGTCTAGTGCAAGGTGTCCCCTGTCCATGGCATGGGGTGGGATAAGATGATCTTTAAGGTCCCTTTCAACCCAAACCATTCTGTATTGCCCAGGGGTTTGGGAGGGACAAACTCAACCCCTATGCATCTTGGCTAAGGAGTATCCCACTGAACATCCTCACCCTGCCACTATGCTACAGCCAAAGATCTTGGCAAAACAAAAAGGAAAAGCTTCATCTACCCAGCTGTGTTGTGACACTGCTATTTCAAACCATAACTAGGCTAGGAGAGCTCAGTGTAATATATTAAGCAACCCCATACTCCAAATTAACTCCTCACTCAAAACGCTGGGTTTTTTTAAACACTCGAGAAATTAAAATCATCATCATTTATATTTTATTGCTAGAGCTGAAATGACAAATATCATGAACAAGCCCACAGCTGCGGGGAGACAAGCCACACAACTGTCTGTTGGGAAAAGAAATAACACAGCTCCAAGTCAAGGTCAACTAGAAAGTGGGTTTTGAAGGGCTATGCCTGGGAATAGTTATGGCACTGGATGGCCAGTGCATTCCCCTCTTCCCCTGACCTCTGACACATCACTGACTCAAACAGGCCCAATCCCAGCAGATGAGAAGGGAAACTGAGTTTTCCCCACAGAGTGTCTCCCTGAGACCCCAGGAATCACACAGCTCTGCTTCCAGCCCACGCCTTGGACGGCCACGAGTTGCCTCCCTCCCTCCTCCTGCTCATTCACAGAGCTCAGCCTACACAGCTCCGTTCCTCTAAAGGTCCTGTTATTCTCCCAAGCTTTTGGGAAGGATGCAGTGTGACAAACACTAGACAGCGATACCACCTGACTGTAGCAAGGGGAAAAACCGAAGCCGCAAAACACAGAAAATGATTTGTTTTGCGATTGATGGCGCATCAATTGACCGGGGTTTCCATGGCAACATGCACCGGTGTTGTGTTGGTCCTCCTCCTCCTCCCCTTCCCGCAGCACAGCCAGGCTCTTCCATTTAAAGAGGAATTTAAAGAAAAGACTGTGGTGTGCGAGGAAGGCGCTGGACGCTGCGTGTCACACGCCCAGGGCCGTGTCTGCCATCGCCCCGCAGCCTCCTGATGCCACCACCTTGGTGGAGGTGACACCCAGGGCCAAGCATGGCCATACCCCAGCCCTACACACCTTGGCAGGGGTGACACCCAGTGCCAGCCACGGCCGTGCCCCCGGCCCTAAACTCCCGCTCTGGCTCTGTACTCCAGCACTACTACAGCAGGGAAAGCCCACTGTAAATAATTCATACCCTGATTTTACATAAGCACAGCCACACAAGCTCTGCTGGGAAGAATGAATAGGGTGATTAATTCTTCTCCCCGCCGGAGGGCTGATTCCAACAGCCTTTGTGTGAGCGCCACAGACACACCAGCAGTGCTGGTCCACGAGGCTGCCTGGTCTCCAACAGCCCCAGGGTCGCTTCTTGCTGCTCTGGGCAGCTGGGAGGAGGATGCTGTGCGTGTCACCTGGCTCACCCTGCTCACTGACTAACCAGGGAGGAGGCTTTTGCTCGCAGAAAGAGCCGCCTGTGACACCAGTCTGCCCAAAACCCCTCAAAGCAACGGCTGGGTTGCTGTGACAGAGGCAACGCCCTCCGGGCCATGCTGAAGCTGGCTCCTTCCACCCAGCCAGCCTGGGTGACGTCGGCTGTTTGTACACCTTATCCTGAGCACAGATAATATCACAGCAGTCAAGGAGCTGAGATTCGGCGAGCAGGAACCGGATTTTCTCTAGCTGGTTAACAGCAGGGGCATTCCCTCTGTGGCAGCACAACCAGCTCTTGTCTCTCTGATCTTATCCCCAGTGCTGGTGAAATATCAAGATCTCACACTCGATTTGGCTCCAGAAAGGAGCAAAGCTGTTGTTTGCCTTTAATTTCACCCTTTGAAGGAACAGGACCTTATACAGGATGCACAGAGGCCGTGAAATGGGTAACCTGAGCCAGGTTCACCGATTTGCATAGGATGCCTATTACAATGCTTTGATTAAATCTTCACAACCCTCCCACCACCTTTTCCATTCTGACTACTAGGTCAGACTTTCCTTTCATGTCCTCAGAATTGCCATCCAGGCTGAATTCTATCTAAACTTCACAGCACTTCTCTTAAGTTTCCCAAACAAAGCCCTTTTCCAGGCAGCTTTGGCTTACGCTCAAACAGAAACCAACAGAGTTCGTTGGAAGGAAAATGGAAGAGAAAATGAAAGCAACACACTCATAACTACACAGTCATCACAGTTGGCTGGGCTGACTTCTGGACAGACAGACATTTCCTCACTTAGGCAATGGATAGTGAGTCAACATCACTCCTCTCTGCCATGTATTCAACGTCCTCACTGGGAAATAGTGACTGTTTACAGTTCCTTCTTCCCCACCGTGAGGGCTGCAGCGTGTCCCCATGCACTGTCCCCATGGCTCACAGCGAAACACGCAGCTGGGAAACTCCACGCTTCCCATTTGTGCAGAAAAAAAGGCTTCTGTTAAATTAGGGAAACGATGGCTCAGCTAAAACCCCCTTCAAATCCTGTCACTCGTGCCCGATCTGCCTGTATTTCCACAATCCCCAAGGTCAAATCCCGGTGCCCTAGAGAGGTAAGAGGGATAGATGGAGTGTCATTTTGGTACCCAAGGCCCATCAGCTGTCCTGAACAGACTGCTGACAAGCAAAGAACGTCTGCACTGAGGGCTCTTTGTGGGACTCCGTAGAACAGAAGTGTGTACGGGCAGCAGCACCCCACTGGGGCTGATCCTCCCTTTGCTGTCCTGGGAGCCAGGTGGGGACAGGCAGCATTTCAGCAGGACAGCAGGTCCCAGGGCCATCCTATCTGGGATGCCATCCCCAAGACTTGCTGGGGAAAGGCAGCATCCCGCTGGTGCAGTGGGATCGCCCAGCTGTCCCAGGACGTGTTGGGGACAGGCAGCACCCCTCCAGGGCGGGGAGTCTCCTTTCCCCAAGACGTCCCAGTATGGATGGATGGGGCACCACCCTACGGGACAGCAGATTCTCCCATCCCCACGCTCTACCAGGATGGACAGGACAACACCCTACAGGGACAGTGGGTCCTCAGTCTGTCCCAGGACAGAGGGAGCAGCATCCTACGGGGACAGCAGATTCCTCCTCCCAGGACAGAGGAAGCAGCATCCTACGGGGACAGCAGATCCCTCCTCCCCACGCTGTCCCAGGGCAGAGGGATGGGGCAGCATCCTACGGGCACCGCAGGTCCCCCCTCCCCAAGCTGTCCCAGCACGGAGGGGCAGCACCCACCGCACCGCCATCCCGCGTGCCCCCCGCACTCACCCGCAGTCGGGGGCCGGGCACCAGCGGCAGTCGGGGTCGGCGGCGAGGCATCGGCGCAGCATGAACTCCTCGTACTTGGCGACGAGGTGCGGGGAGTCGTGCAGGAGGCGGCGG